GGAGTTACAGCTCTTCGAAGTTTGGCGGCTAGAGAGTGTGGAGAGGCGAGAGGCGCAGACCCCTAACTGTCTGCACCCTCCTCCTACCTCACGCTCTCTCATCTCAAATTTCGAGACGCTATATCTCGGCTCCCAGGCAAGCTAGGAAAATGAAATTTAAACAGAAATACATGCCACATTTCCTAGATTTTAGAACAAAATCGGTCATAGTAAGCTTTTGACAGTCATAATTTGGATTCTAGAAAAGAAACCCAAAATTTTTTAAATATTTTCTTGAAAAGAAAAAAATTTCAAATAACAATGTAGTCGTAAAAAAACAACTTTCTAGCTTCATTTTGAGCCAAGTTACAATTGTTTGAATTTTACCTGCCAGGGAGTATGGGGACACGAGAGGGTGCAGACAACGAGACACTCTGCGTCTCTTACCTGAAACTTTGGAGCGTCGTATCTCGGCTTGTAGTAGCCCTAGAGAACTGATTTTTGGACCGAAATGTAGGCAAGACAGTGGATTTTGGGATAGTATTAATTTATTGATTATGGGAAAATACAAGAAAAAGAGATTTAAAATTGAGGAAAGGAAGGAAATCAATCATAAAAATGTATTTGAAGTTGATAAGAAGATGAGATGATCAAAAAATTGACAGAAATCACTCCCGCCACTTCCACTGGCCATTCTCTTGATAAGCTTCTCCGGAACACATGGCCTCGAACTTCCAAGACGCTTCAGCCTCTTCCATCGCGTCTTTCGCTGATTCCTCGACCTTCAACGCCTTCTTCAATTGCTTCTGAATCTTCTTGTGTGCCTCTTCCTTCTCCTGAATCTTTTTTTGGAATGCTGGCTTTGGCTTCTGAATCTTCGGCTTCTGGTGCATCTGATGAAGAGCCTTTAATCTCTGAATCCTCTTCTCGGATTCCTTCTGTTGACTTTGGATTCTTCTTACATCGTTCGACGCTTTCTGATGGTCCTTGATGGCTGTGGCGTATTCATCTCCAAGGATTTGAATCTTCTTTTTGATATCAGCCTTGGACTCGATTTTGGTGTTTTGAGGGGCAGTGACTTTAGTCTTAGCCATGGTGAATGATAGATTCTGGAAAATGAAGGATAAAAAATTGAACAGAAGAAGGTTCTAGAAGTCAGTAATATAATTCAGGAGCGGAAAAATCAATAGAATAGAATTGTCTGACTGATGGAAGAGAACAAAAGAGAATGAGTTCACCAGAATAATGAATACAACTGAATATGAGGACCACCATCGTAACAAGACGTCAAGAGACTCCGCCAATTTCCCACCTGGTCTGCGTTTCTTTATTACCTCACTATCTCACCATCTTCACATCATCATGTCATCAAATGAATACCATCTGCTTTTATGGTCCCTTTACTAAAACTGTCAGATATAATGTGAAGAGAGCAGAAATACAGTACTGCCGGGTCGAAATCGGATTTCCTGTCGGAATCAGAGTTATTAATAGTTTAAGTTTCAAAAAATACAGTTTCTAGCTTCATTATAAGCCAAGTTACATGCATTTGAAGTTTGGTGGCTAGAGAGTGTGGGAAGGCAAGAGGGCGCAGACACCATAACTGTCTGCGTCCTCCTCGTTCCGCATGCTCTCTTGTCGCAAACTTGAAAAAGCTGTATCTCGGCTCTCCGACGGCGAATTTCACTCGATTTTGGGTGCTATTTTGGAGAAGGCCCAAAATTTCACTTTTGATCAAAATTCGTGCTTGACGAGTTTTGCTTGTCCTTCAATGTCATATTTCATTTTTCCAGACAACATTCAAATTGCGGTAACTGTTTTTTAGCTTTTCAGTATTTCAAAACTGTTTTCAGAAT